AAGGAGTACTAATTGGAAAAGAAGAGGTCAAACTATCACTTTTTGCAGGTGATATGATACTATACCTAAGAGATCCCAAAAGTTTCACCAGAAAACTCCTAGAACTGATCAACACTTTCAGTATAGTGACAGGTTATTAAATCAATCTACAAAAATTAGTAGCCTTTTGTATTAGTCACTTTTCCATTGCTGTGATAGAAACACTGACCCAAGCAATTTATAGAAGGAAGAGTTTATTTGAGCTTACAGTTCCAGGGGAATTACAGTCTGTCATGGCCAGGAAGCATGGTGGCTGGAGGTGGCTGGAGTAGGAGCAGCAGAAGGTAACCTCTCACATCACCACGCAGGCACAGGAATCAAGAGACAAACTGGAGATCTGGCAAAGCTTAAGGCCTCTCTAAGCCCACCCCCGGTGACATGCTTCATCCAGGATAGCCACACCTTCTAAAACCTCCCAAAACAGTGCCATCATCTGGGGACAAAATACCCAAACACTTGGAGCCTATGGGGGACATTTTCATTCAAACTACCACATTCCACTGCCTGGCCCCCATAGGCTCATGATCATATAAAACGCAAAATGCATTTAGTCCAACTTTAAAAGTCCCCATAGTCATTATCAGTCTCAATACTATTCAAAAGTCCACAGTCTCTTCTGAGACTCAGGTAAATATCTTAACTGTAAGCCTCTACAAAATCAAAAGACAAATTACATACTCCCAACATACAGTGGAACCAAATACACATTACTATTCCAAAAGGGAGGAATGGTGGCATAGTAAGGACAAACCGGACCAAAAGAATCCCGAAATCCAGCAGGGCAAACACCAAATCCAGTAGCTCCACGTCCAACTTCTGGGACTCTACATCCAAAGGGCTTAGATGGCTCAGCCTCTCTAGCTTTGCTGTGTGAAATACACATCTCTCTCTTGTGCTGGTACCACTCCCTGTATGCAGCTCTGGCATCACAAACTTCTTGGGGTCTCGATTGCCAACCAGGCTTCACCTTCACAGCTTCACACAATGGCCTATCAGGGCCTTCTCTAGGCAGGGGCACTCCTTCTTCACACTGCCTGGCTTCCAAGGCTCTCTGAAACCTTGGAGGAAGAATTGATGACCCCTTCACTCTTCCTTCTTTCATGCCTCTAAAGCCACTAAAGCCAGCACCAGGTGAATGACAATGCCAAATTTGACTGAAAGTTTGGGATGGACTCCAGCCTGCTTTATCCATTTTAGAGGCTTTTCTCTTCAGTGGTCCCTGCAGCATTTTCCTTTCACAAATTGGAGGCTTAACTAGGTGTGGTCTTGGCCTGGAGGCACTCTCTCCATTGTTTAAGTTTGATCTCTAGGCCCTCCTTAATCACTTTAACCTCCTTAATCATTTTAATCTCCTTATCAATGGGATCCTCTCCATCACATGCCAGGGCTCCAACATTTATCTTTCTAGTGTTCTTTTTCAATCTAAACTGTATTTCTTTCTGCCACATTTGCTCTTTTTCTCTGTAAATCTGTATAACATTCACCACTAATAGCCACGTCACCATTTCTACATTAGACTGTCTTGAAATTTCTTCTGCCAGAGAATTTAGTCCATGGCTTTTCAATTTAGCTTCAGGCAAGCTTTTTGGCTGTGGGTAGACTACAGCCAGACACTTAGCCAAAATATCCCAATTGCTGCTTAAGTCCTTATTTCCCTCTGAAACTACATTGTTCTCAGCACTACTTTCTTCCAGGCCCCTACTAGAATGGCCTGTTAAGCACTGCTTACAGCAATCAACCACTTTTCTAGCCCAAACTTCCAAAGTCTTCCACATTCCTCCAAAACCCCATATGGTCAGGTTCTTCACAGCAAACAGCCCACTCTCTGGTACCAATTTCTGTATTAGTCACTTTTCCATTGCTCTGATAGAAACACTGACCCAAGCAATTTATAGAAGGAAGAGTTTATTTGAGCT